TAGGTACAATGAACCACTGTGGGCACAAGTATTGATATCAACTACGACATTGGTGATCAAGATCTTCAAGTATTTCGGGTACAAGGGAGACTCGATGTACAAAAAGTACACTCCCTGGCAGAATCGGAAAGAAATGTTTGAACAAATTGGAACTAAACTTCATGGTGTTCCAAAGTCTCTTCTTAGTTCTATACTTAAGAACAAAACAGTTCTGGTGCCACAAACACCAGAAATAACAAGTCTACTATACTGAAGATCCTGAAATACGTTCTTTTCAAGTGTGGGCTCCGAAAATTCAGCCCCGGCCTCCGCTCGCTCTTTTCTTTCGGCGAGGGAGTTTTAACTGAACTAGTTCCGAGATAAATTTTGGAAGGCAAATGGGTTTGTAGATAAGACACTACCCAGAGATTTCGTCCTCATTTTGTGAGGACTTTATGATCTGAGTTCTGGTTTCCTATAGGCGCAAGCCCCTATAGTTAATTACCCCTCCCGATCACGAGAGAGAACTTTCGATTAAGGCTAGTCGTGAATCAGATACGTATATAATACATGGTTTTTGGCATATAGTAGCAGCATGAATTTGGGATTTGAAATTTTGAAATTGGGTTTGGATTTGGGTATTTGAATGATTGATATTTGAAAATTTGAAGGTTTTGATATTTAAAAATAGAAATTTCACCATCTTGAACTTAAAGCGGATGGTGGGGGAATGGATGATAGACCCGATCAAGATCCCATAATTCCGTCGTCCCGGGCCATCGTGGTCCCTGGTCTACTTAGTCAGAGAAGGTAGTCGACCCAACCTGACAGAAGGATCCTTGTCGGCAGCCATGGGTTGCTTCGTCCAAGGGAACCTTGTAGACCGGGGTTGAATGTTTGTCTAAGGGGACAAATTTGAATCCACCTTGGCTAACAAAGGGCTTTGTACCCTATCGATCATATCCTATTGATTCATATCTCAAGGATTTAACGCCATTAAGGAGCATATTGGCTCTGGCCATAACCGCTATCTGTGGTGCCATTTGGCGGCAAAACCACTCGGTTCAGAGGGCCCCGGGTCATAACCGTTTACCTACAGTGCCATTTGGCAGCGAGACTGCCGGTTAGAGGACACATACAACGTCCTTACTAGCAAGAGATTGTTTGAGAATGGATCCTAGTGATATTTTTGACTAGGCATTTGGCTCTTTGTGAGCTAGAGTTTATTTAAATTTGTCCACCTCGACAAACTATTGCGGAGGGTGGATGGATTTTGCTTTAAGTGTTTGATAGTTAGATTTCAAAATTTGAATATCTTAAACTTTGAGATTTTTGAATTTTTTGGGTTTTTTGGATTTGGACTTTGTAGAGTTTAGATTTTCTGGCATTTGAATGGAATTTGAAAGTATTTGTGCACCCCTCCGGTTGAGATAGCCAATTAATACGGCCATCATCGGGGTGTTTGGGGTCATTTTCCTTTATGGATCGAACCTTGTCGACTCTATCTATTGGTCGATAGAGGATCAGGTTTCGTAGGCTTTGAGCCTTTATTAGTGAATTCATATTATTGTAGGCCTTGATGGCCTAATATGAATATTTTAAAGCAAACATACCAGTCGTCACAACTTTATATTTGCTTAATGGTTCGAACCCTGTCGACTTCTATTGACCGTATAGAAGGATCGATTTCGAACCTGAATTTACTTGTCAACCCGCGCAGCATCTCTAGACGTCACGTATGTACCAATAACACGCTCGCCGGGGCCCATGCGGGTTTTATAATTATTTTTACCCCTTTTAATGTACCTATGTGTATACAATTTATAGTGCACGTGCAGGGGTATTTTAAAATAATTGTAGACGCCTTCTGTCTGCTTGTACGAATGTTGCAGATCCGGTGGCGTGGCGTAGCGGCTTTTTGAATTGAGTTGTTCGCTGCTTTATACAGGTAGACTGTCGTGCAATATTGTTGCTTTCTGCAGGTGGGTCGTAGTGCACCAACTAATCTCCTGCCTTTGTTGTAGATGCTTGCATTTGTTGAATCCTTTTTTAGCATTTTTGCTTGTGAATATTGCGATGGGTACATGATGGGTTACGACAGCTCGTAGAAGCTCTCATTTGTCATATTATCTTTATATTTGCTTGTAGATGTCATGTCGAGTACACATGATCTTTTATAATGGCCCGTAGGTACTTGTATTTACTGCATGTCATTCATCTCTTCTTGTGAAAGAAAGGTGTACTTAACTTCAATTGGATGATTGTTGGTTTGGGGGAGGTATTGTAATATTCTTTGCTACAAAAAAAAAACTTGTAGGCGCTTTACGTTTACTGTAGGGGCTCCTCCTTTGTCCACCATTGATCATTACCCGTAGGAGTATTATTGTATATGCAATGAATACTTCATCATCGCTAGTAAGCATCTTCATCTACTATGATCTTTTCCCTTGTAGGTAGAAGATCCATTAGGCCTTTGATACATCTATCATCGTGGCTTGTAGATGGGGCTGATGTACATTAACATTGGTAGAAAGAGGGTTGCATCCCCCACAATTCTCTTGCTTCACCTATGGGCATTCCACATTGATTGTACATAAATGTCACTTGTAGGGATTTCATGGCATTCATTACATATTACACTGAGTATGTTGAATTTGGGATAAGTCTCTCACATCATCATTAGACTCTTCCGTTAGAAATAGAATAATGTATCATTGACCACAGGCGGGTCACATTTCATTGTCAACCCCTCCACATATGATGCTCTTTTTCACTCATAGATGGGCCATCGTAGGCATATCAAAGAGTCTTCTGTTACTGCCAACATATATCTACATCTACTATATATTGATCACCATTACTTGCAAGGGTTGAATATGTTTGCTCAAACAAAATTTATGCCAAAGCTTATAGTGAATTTGTGCACAAGTCCTTTGTTTGGATAAGATTTGGATAGGTCTTCCACCTTTATCTTGAGCTCATTTTTTTATAACTCACTCAAGTCGGATCCTTTATGACTCATTGAAGTCCACATTAAGCTTCTTTGCATTTGCTTGAATATGGGTCCAAGTGATCCAAGTTCAAGTTGTTCAAATCAAGTCCAAGATTTGTCATTTGAGTTAAAATTTGTTCATGCTTAAGTCCCACATGAGTTCAAGTCATATGCAAGTTTGGCTCAAGTTTGAATCAAAGTCCATTATCATTTGATATGAATCAAGTCCATGTCCTTTGCAGTTTGTTCAAGTCCCCTGAGTCCTTGTAAGTTCAAGATTGAGTCTAAGTTCAATTCTTGCTTGAGTTCAGTCCGATTTCATTTTACTTGGGTTTAATTCTTTATTAAGTCATTTAGATTTTGTTCAAGAGTCCAAGTACAAGTAATCCGTCGTTCTTCTGAGTTCAATCAAGTCCAGGTCCCAAATTGTTCCAAGTCCTTGTCTGTATTTTAGACAAAATTTCGACAGCCTCCCGTCGTCTCCCCCGTTTAAGGGAAAAACCAAGAGGCCGCCTACCCGCCACGTCAATAAAGACGTGCACTGTTGGTGTTGGTGAGACACCGCGGCGGTTGTATTTTTTTGTTTTCTCCCACCACGCGCAATAAAGGCGTGCATGGGGTTTTATAAAAAGCATTTTTGAAAAAGCAGTTTTTTTATTTCCCCCCGCCCGGGGGTACTTAATAAGTGACCCCGCTTCGCCGTACGTGCCGCACCGGGGTCCCATCCCACCACGCGCAATAAAGGCTTGCATGGGAGATTCTCCAGTTTGTCATGGACATTGAAGCAAGGTTTTGAGTTTTAGAACAGTTCATACCTCCACGGGGTTGTCGTGGTTGACACGTGGATCGAGGGGTCACTCGCCTACCTCGTCTAAATATTATGATAATTGATTAAAAAAATAAAATTAATTATAATTAATATTATTTTTAATTAATTTAAGATAAGTAAATAAATAAATAAAAAACTTCCCTCCCCTTCAAATCTCTGTTTTCACGGGATCAAGCCAAAGAAGCGCGAAAGGGAGAGAGTTACCTTCCCAGCTAGCGAGCTCCCTGTTGTTTCTTTCGATCGGACAAGAAGGGAAAGTCGGAGGAGCGAAGCCGTCCGACCACAAGAGGATCGGGATCTAGGGGTTCAGTGGTGAGATGGGGAGGCGTCGGGTACAGGTATGTGGATCGGTCTCTCCCTCTCTCTCTCTCTCTCTCTCTCAGTTTGAGCTGAAGGTCGGCGGCCTGAGGAGGTCGAGTGGAGGAGAGGCGACGGGATCTGGGGTTGGAGGTCGGAGCTCTTCCGTGAGTTCGGAAGCAACGATGGAAGAGGTAGGAGCTTCGTTAGCTAGGGAAGAGAAGGGGCTTTGACGGGAGAGTAGAGAGTGTCGTGGGAGAGCAATGGGATCGGAAAAGCAGAAGCCTCGTTTCATCTGGCTTTTAAAGACGAGAGGAGCATCCAGGTGGAACGAGATTTGGGCAAGAAACACGGAGAAGCGACGCGAACGTCGGCTGGATTTGCGGGATTTGAATGGTTCGGCAGTCCGAGGTTTCAGCCAGCAGGATATCAGGGATTTGGCAGAAGATTTATAGCAGAGGTATGATTTCATTTTTACTCCATTGGGTATTATACAGAGGTTAACAAATGCCCCCCAACAAATGTGATACGCGTCTGAAGCGAATCATGTTTGTTGTATGCTGATTGACCCTATGGATCTCTAGATATTTGTTCTAGATGTCACACTAGGGTATCCATTTAGTGGATCTCCAAAAGTTCCTTTGGATGTCACACTAAGATTTTTATTTAGTAGATCTCCAAAAGTTTATCTTTGTGTCTTTGTAAATCTTCTGGATACACTTGTAATCTTCAGTATAGTTGATAGATTTTCTCTTGTTGGGGTAGAGATCCTCGAGGTAGTGATAGAGTACTTTGTATTTAGATCCTTAGAGCTTCACTTTGTAGATTGATGCTAGTGGATAGTATTATCACCTTTTGCTTCTAACAATTTTGTATCATTTAGAATCTATCTGGTCTTTGCAGATTCATTAGTCGGTGGGACTTTGCTGCCTTAGGCTCTCCACAGCTGCTTTTGGGTTCAGGTACACTTTCTCCCCTTTTTCTTAGTTTTGATTTCATACTCATACTGATACTGCTTTATATTTTGTGCAGGCTACTACAAGAAGATGATCAGAGCTTCAGCCAGTTTACTGCTTCAGGAGACTTCAGTTTTGGTACGTTTTTACTTTGTTTGTACTGTTCTTTTCTTTCTTTAGCTGCTTTCTGATACTCCTTTTTTTTTTGCTCTGCACAGGTTTCGAGAGGAGCGAGATACTTGTTCGTGAGCCACCTCAGGAGACCACTGTTTCAGGTACAAGCTTCTTTTTTTGTAGCTTCTTACATATGTTTTTTATGATTCCTCCTCTTTCTGCTAACTTATCTTTTGCTTTATGCAGGTCCTAGAAGTGCAGAATACCTGGACTTTGGAAAGAGAAGAATGTGGACTTCCTCTTCAGATGTAGTTTAGGAGACAGATTTTAGTCCTCTACGAAGGACATTGTACTTTTTCTTTTCTTTCAGCTGATATAATCTTGTAAAAAGATCTAGTCCGCAAATTTGTATATGAATTCTAAACTTAATAAAATAAAGTGATTTTATAAATTCAGTTGTTGACGAGCTCTCTTTTTACTGCCCTTGAGACTTTTGTGGTTGTACTCTGACTTGTGCTCATAGTATTTTAAATATTTATTTGGGGATCTCGGCATGCAGCGCGATGTCGACCCAAATAAATATTTAAAATGCCTCCAGTCTTTAGGGACATTTGTAGATATTATTCGGGATGCTTCTTTTCGTAGTTTTAGACTGAGCCACGAGATTCTAGTTCTTCCGTCATGTGCTTTATGCTGCGGACATTGGTGGAGGATTACCTGATTTATCAATAATGATTTGTCAGGAGATTTTTATACCTTCGGCCCTGTGCTTTCTGCTTTAGTGGGCTTGTTGAAGGAGGAGAGGTTGATGACCTAAACCCTTAGGTTTGTATTAGGTCGATGGAGAAAAGTCATCGGTCCAGAGCTTTGTGCTTAGCGGACTTGTTGATGACGGAATCCCCTTAGTTCAACCTAAGGCTTTTCACGAACTTTGGGATAATTTTCTTCGGTCATTTGCTTTGTGCTTTGACGGACTTGTTGAAGAAAGATTCCTTCGATCCTCGCTTTGTGCTTTACGGATTTGTTGAAGGATTTGCAGGTTCTGAATTCAGTTGATAGTACCGAACGTAGGTAGTATCTTGATCCTTAACCACTTGAGAAGACTTTAATCTGAATCACTTGAGTTCATCAGATTGGGAGAGCTAGCATTTGATAGCTCTTTGTCCTCTGATTGCTGAGATGGGGGTTCTTCTACTGCGGCCTTTCTTATTGCTTGTTGAGTAGATGGAGCTGCCAGCGATCCGGCCATATTTGGGCTTGTTGGATCCGACCTCATACACCCATTCAAGCTTCAGACTTGAGCTATGGGAATTGAGCTTCCCAATGCTGATTTCACTGAAGTTGGTAGATTTGGAGTCATCCTTCGTGGTTTTAGATTTTGGAGCCTACGAACATTTGGTAGTTGTTTGAGACTCATCCTTCTACTGGAACTTTGATTCTCCAGTCATTTGGGGAGAATTTTGTAGACTATGATCACTTGAACTGGTCGAGTCAAATTAGCTTTTGTACTTTCTATAGTCCCTACTGACGGGTTGACGAAGTGGGGGTTCCGCTACTACGGCCTTTCTTATGGCTTGTTGAGTAGACGGAGCTGCCAGCGATCCGGCCATATTTGAGCTTGTTGGATCCAACCTCTTACACCCATTCGAACCTTAAGCTTGTCGAAAGACTTCAAGCTTTTTCGGCTCAATTTGTAGGAGTGTGTAGCTACAAAAGTCTCTTTCTTGACCTTTGAGTCTTGGTTTGTTGGAGAAGACGGTGTCTCTATCTTTTGAAATATCACCTGCATATACTTTGTAAAACAAATATTTGTATTCTTTAGCATAAAAGAATATCTGGATTGATAATTTTAAATATTTATTCGGGGATCTCGGCATGCAGCTCGATGTCGACCCGAATAAATATTTAAAATGCCCCCTGTCTCGCGGGGACATTTCAGAATGAAATAGATTTGGAATATAAGATTTTAAATATTCATTTGGGGATCTCAGCGTATAGCACGATGTCGACCCAAATGAATATTTAAAATACCCCCTGTCTCGCAGGGACATTTTGGATAGGCTTTGTATCTTTGAGATTTTAAATATTTATTCGGAGATGTCAGCACGCAGCGCGATGTCGACCTGAATATATATTTAAAATGCCCCTAGTCCGATGAGGGATTCTGAAATGCATTCTTACTATACAAGAGAATTTCAAAATGTGAATGTAAGCATGCATTGATAAATACATATATAACACTTTGATAATTGTAAAATACATTAGACATGGAATTTTCACACATGATACTTCTTTAGATGTCGACCATTGATTAGCGGTATAGGCCTCTGACCGTTCAGATCGATCAACTGATAAGCTCCTCCTTGGTACACCTTCTCGATGACGAACAGACCTTCCCAATTGGATACGAATTTGCCACCGATTTTTCGATGTGGGATGATTGGCCTTCTCAGCACCAGGACCAATTCCCCTTCTTGAAATGATCGAGGACGCACAATTCAATCAAAGGACTTTGCCATTATTCCCCGGTAGATTTCTAGATTTTGTTGAGCTTGTAACCTTAGTTCATCAAGTGCATCGAGCTCTTCCATTCTGAGGCGGGCATTTTGCTCTTGAGTTAGGTCATTCTGAATTGCTACCCGAAGTGACGGTAGTTCAATCTCCAATGGTAATACAGCTTCAACACCGAACACTACAGAGTACGGAGTAGCTGTGGTTGGCATTTTCTAGATTGTATGGTAGGCCCACAAGGCTTCTGTCATCTTCGTATGCCACTCTCTTTTGTTCTTGATGAGAATCTTCTTCAACAATTTCACTAGCATCTTGTTGAAGGCTTCTACCAATCCATTTACCCTTTGGATAGTATATGGATGAATATCGTCAATCGATTTTATGCCGATCAACGAACTTGTAAATTTTTGTACTCTTGAATGCAGTACCATTATTTGAGATTATTCGGCGTGGCACACCAAATCTGTAGACAACATTGTGGGTAAAGAAATTGATCACATGCTCCGATGTAACCTCTCTGAATGGAGCTGCTTCTACCCACTTGGAAAAGTAGTCCGTCGCTGCCAGAATGAAACGGTGTCCTACTGATGACGGCGGATCTATTGGACCAATAATATCAGTGCCCCAACATTCAAATGGCCAAGACGCTATTGTTGGGTGTAGTGGATTTGGCTGTTAATGTATAACATTATCGTGAATTTGACATTCGTGACATCTCTTAGCGTGGTCGATACAATCTCTGACCATAGTCGGCCAATAATAACCCATTCTTTTGATTTTAGCGGCCATATTGGGACCTGACTGATGTGCTCCGCAAAGCCCTTCGTGGACTTCTGATACCACTTTATCAACTTCCCTGGTCCCTAGGCACCTTAGCCACATTTGATCAAAAGCTCGTCTGTACAAAGTGTCATTGACAAATGCATATCGCAATGCCCTTTTCCGAATTTGTGCGGCCATAGACTTTTCTGTCGGGAGTTTGTTTTCTTTGAAGTAGTCAATGAATGGCTGTCTCCAATCATTTTCGACTTCAATATCTAAAAAATGCCACCACAATTCTGAAGCTTGACTAGCTTTATGTCTCTTGGCCGTATGATATCCTTCCGGATAATTTTTCATAATGATTTGATGGAGAGGTTGAGGATCAACTAGAAGTATTTCATCCTGCTGACTTGAATCTGTAATTCTCTCCGCCTTCGAGAATTGTAATAGAGCAGGCTCTAAGATCCGATGGTTGTAAACTCCGATAAATATAGGTTTCTCCTCATTAGAATTTGTCATTTCCTTGGCCAATTTGGCCAAACAATCTGCTTTGGCGTTCTGTCCTCGAGGAATTTGAACTATTTTAACATTTGACACTTGCTTCAGGAGCTCAATGTTTGTTGGTGGTAATGAGCCAACTCAACCTTAGAAATCTTATAGATGCCCAAGACTTGATTTATCACAAGTTGAGAGTCACCAAAGATTTGAAGATTTTAAATTTTGATGTCAACTGCAATCTCCAACCCTACTATTAGAGCTTCGTACTCGACTTCGTTGTTGGTTCGAGGTTCAGTCAAACTGAATGAAAACCTCATTATGCCTCCTTCAGGTGGTATGAGAACAAGACCGATACCGGCTCTGGTTCTTGCAATATTTGGAGGTCGGACAGGTCTAATAGATGAAGCCTCGTCAAAGTACATCTCCCAGAACGGTAACTTTTCATTCTCCTCGACCTGCATTATTTGCTCATCGGGCAAATCATCATTTAATGCGGAATCTGCCGGGATCGGATGTGCAGCGAGGAAATCTTCCAAGGCCTGTCCTTTCACCGCCTTTTGTGGCATGTATATGATATCAAACTGTAATAAAAATACTGCCCACATGGCCAGACGACCTGTCAACGCTGGTCCTGTCATCAAGAACTTCAGCGGATCGATCTTTGATATCAGTGTGATTTTATGGGATAACATATAATGGCGGAGTTTCTGAATTACAAAAATCAATGCCAGACAATGCTTTTCAATTGGGGAATAACGGCTTTCTGCTCTAATCAACCTTTGACTGATATAGTAGAGCGCATTTTCTTTGCCTTCTTCATTATTCTGGGTCAATAGTGCTCCGAGGGACTCTTCTAGTGCAGCTGTATACAGTATAAGAGGCTTCCCCGGAATTGGCGCTGCGAGAATGGGCGGATTTAACAAGTATTTCTTGATACTATCAAATGCCTCCTGACATTCTGCATCCCATTTGAAACGGACATCTTTCTTCATTAGCTTTGAAAATGGTTGGCACCTACCCGATAGATTTGATATAAATCTCCGAATGAAAGCCAGTTGTCCTTGTAAAGAACGGAGTTGACGAAGGTTCTTTGGAGGTGGCATCTCCAAGATTGCTTTGATCTTGTTGGGGTCGACTTCGATGCCTCGATGTCGAACAACATATCCTAGGAATTTCCCTGAGGATACCCCAAATGCACACTTGAGAGGGTTCATCTTTAGATCATATTTTCAGATCCTCTCGAACACAATTCTCAAATCATCAATGTGATCTTTTCGGTCCGTGCTCTTAATGATCAAGTCATCTACATAGCATTCAACCTTTTGATGGATCAAATCATCAAATATACGAGTCATCGCCCGTTGATAAGTGGCACTAGCATTCTTCAGGCTAAAAGACATGACTGTGTAGCAGAATATGCCTATAGGCGTTCTGAATGATGTATGTCTTTCATCTTCATGCGCCATTTTAATCTGATTGTAGCCCGACGATCCATCCATGAAGGAGAACATAACATAGTTGGAAGTATTGTGAACTATAAGCTCTGACACTGGAAGCAGAAAGTCATCTTTTGGGCATGCCTTGTTGAGATCCCTGAATTCGATACAGATATGAATATGACCATTCTTCTTCTTTACATGGACGATATTGGCAATCCAGTCGGCGTACTTTTCTTCTCGGATGAAGCCTGCCTCTATTAATTTCTTTGTTTCAGTAATCACCTGTTCTTCAATCTCCAATCTCATTCTCCTTGGAGCTTGTTTAACGGGTGCTACATCCGGTTTGATTGCTAATCTGTGAACTGCTACGTCAGGGGATAAGCCAGGCATCTCAACATATGTCCAGGCAAAGCAGTCCCTGAATTCACAGAGAAGTTCTTTTATTTCTTCTATTTGTTCCT